TTTTTCTTTCTCTCGCTTTCTCGTTATTCACGTCACGAGAAGTAATAAAAAGAAAGGATGCCGAACGGAACAGGTGAACCACCAGTACCGACTCCACCACAGGTAGCACAGACGGTCGCGCCACCGGCAGCAACGTTGGCTCCACCGCCGGCGTTTCCTCCGCTGTCAGAAGCGTTAGCCAGGGATTTTCCTCCGCTACCCACGGAAACGTTAGCGTCAGCACATGCAACAACATTGGAATGGCTGAAGGTGAGGACGGCGACATCCCAGGACCTCAGGAGGGCGATATCCGATTTAGAAAGGTTTGACGGAGGAGTGGGTGAGCTAAATCACTTCTTAAAGGGAGGTGATCGGGTGATATCGCGCATTCTATCCAAGGAAGAGGAGAATTTGATAGACTCGATGGATGCTAACGCGTTAAGGGCAGCTTCGGTGTGCCGAGTTAAGAGAAGTGTGTTGAATATGATCCAGGCGGATGACGACACCCCATGGAACACGGTGAAGGATAGGCTGAAGAAGGCATTCGGAGGAGGTCGATGGGCTCCGGAGGAAGACATCCTGCAGATGTTTCGGGAAAGGAAACAACCTCACCAGTCGAATGGGCAGTACGCAGCAAATTTATTAGCACAATTCATCAGTGTAACCGAGAAGACTAGGGAAGTAGCGGGTGCGGCCGAAACAGGAGCCAGGATGGCGTTCCTGTCGACGATACTTAAAGTGCAGCTGGGCCGAGATACAGGTAAGAAGGATGGGTTACCTAGGGAAAAGAGTTTCGTCGAATGTGCTCAGGATATGATCGATGCAAGCGCCCGGGATGAAGAAGCAGCTCGGGGTGACGAGGAGAATGAGATTGGGTGGAACCGAGTGGTGTACAGGAGACCAGAAAATGGAAGGGTCAAAGGGAGACCGGAAGGGTGGAGAAAAAGAGGAGAATTTGGCAACTGGGACTAAAATTGTCAGCCGAAAAGTCGATTCTGGGACAGGACGAGATTTTTTGGGACACTCGATTTCAAGGGAACGGGATCAAAAAATTGATCTCGTCCTGTCCCAGAATCGACTTTTCGGCTGACAATTTCAGTCCCAATTGCTTTACTCTATCGAATACGCGGCGCAAATGACCAATGTGTTCCGCTTCATCTCTGCTGAAGACCAGGAGATCATCCATATATACCTGACAGAATGCTTCATCCAGTCCCCTCAATAATTCGTCCATAAACCTCTGGAAGGTTATAGGAGCGTTCTTCAACCCGAATGGCATGCGAGTAAACTCATAATGCCCCCTTTCGAATGAAAAAGCTGTCTTGTGCTGGTCCCTGGGGTGCATACGTATCTGATGATAACCTGCCTTTAGATCGATAGTACTAAAGATTGTGGCTCCACTCAGTCTGTCAATGATATCCTCAAATCCTGGAAGCGGGCATTTCTCATCCAAGGTGTTTTCGTAGAGCTTTCTGAAGTCTACCACTACTCTATACTTCTCTTCCCCTACTGCCTATACTGCCCATAAGGGACTATTGTATGGTGATGTGCTGTCCACGATTATACCTTGCCTTTTCAAGCTCTCTAGCTCTTCCTTGATATGTCGCCGTAGAGCTTGTGGGTAACGTCGTTCCTTAACGTATGTCTCTTTTTCTTGTTTTAGCGGAATCTCATGCACCGTCTTCCCTGTTGCAGTCAGCACTTCCCCGTCTCTATAAAAAATATCCGCGTATTCCCTCTTTATCCTCTGTATCCAATGTTCCGCTTGTTCTATTGTCCCAACGTTCCTTACTTAATAAGTCACATCCTATTATACCCCCGTACTCCCTCGGCATGTTCTCCTCTACATGAACCCTCAACTTCTCGCTTCCGGCCACCCATCTGTCCAGATCTAATTCTACCTCCCCTTCAACTCTACAAGCACCACCCAAAGTAATCAACTTACACTTACAATTTTTTATTTCCTCTCTCCTTTACACAATTTCTCCAGCATCTTTTTACATAATATTGTACTAGAGCTTCCCGTATCCACCAAACACTTCCCTCTCCCCACAACACTTATAATTGGCAAACCCACGCACTCACCTCATGCTCCTCTCCTCATTCATCCGTTCTTCCTCTCTTTCCTGCAGTTGCTCCTCTCACTCCGCTCCTCCTGCTGATGCTGCCTCCTCGAGCTCCTCTTACTACCGTCCCCTCCTCTTCGGTTCCAGATGTTCCTGATGACTCGTCTGACTCTGATGTTGATCCTCTCTTCTTCCACAATCTCTGTGCGTTCACCTCCATTGGCTCATCTCGCCCCGTGTTTCTCCGTCTAATCATATATGGACATTGTCTGAAGATGTGCCCTTCATTTCCGCATTCGAAACATCGAGTTCGCGGACAATTTGCTACGAGGTGACCTATCTTCCCGCACCCGTGGCATCTCCTGTCGTCCTTTGTCCATTTCCTTCTCTCTCTGCCTGGCCTTTTCTCTCTCAATGCCGTCCTTTCCCTCGTGCCAAATTCTCCTCTTCTTCTCCACCCCTCCGGTCTCTCTTTAACCTTCCAGTTTCCGGTCTCCTTTACACCACTCGGTTCCGCCCATTCTCATTCTCCTAGTCACCCCGAGCTGCTTCTTTATCCCGGGCGCTTGCCTCGATCATATCCTGAGCACATTCTAGGAAACTCTTCTCCTTGGGTAACCCATCCTTCTTACCTTTATCTCGGCCCAGCTGCACTTTAAGTATAGTCGACAGGAACGCCATCCTGGCTCCTGTTTCGGCCGCACCCGCTACTTCCCTAGTCTTCTCGGTTACACTGTTGAACCGTGCTAATAAATTTGCTGCATACTGCCCATTCGTCTGGTGAGGTTGTTTCCTTTCCCGAAACATCTGCAGGATGTCTTCCTCTGGAGCCCATCGACCTCCTACGAAGGCCTTCTTCAGCCTATCCTTCACCGTGTTCCATGGGGTGTCCTCGTCCGCCTGGATCATATTCAACACACTTCTCTTAACTCGGCACACCAAAGCTGCCCTTAACGAGTTAGCATCCATCAAGTCTATCAAGTTCTCCTCTTCCTTGGCCAGAATGCGCGATATCACCCGATCACCTCCCTTTAAGAAGTGATTTAGCTCCCCCACTCCTCCGTCAAACCTTTCTAAATCGGATATCGCCCTCCTGAGATCCTGGGATGTCGCCGTCCTCACCTTCAGCCATTTCAATGTCGTTGCATGTGCTGACGCTAACGTTTCTGTAGGTAGCGGAGGAAAATCCCTTGTTAACGCTTCCGACAGCGGAGGAAACGCCGGCGGTGGAGCCAACGGTGCTGCCGGTGTCGCGACCGTCTGTGCTACCTGTGGTGTAGTCGGTACTGGTGGTTTTTCTGTTCCGTTCGGCATCCTTTCTTTTTATTACTTCTCGTGACGTGAATAACGAGAAAGCGAGAGAAAGAAAAAAAAAAGAGAGAATGAAAAAAACTGTTACTTTGACTGAATATAAAGATCCCGAGTTTCGGCACCACTTACGATCGTCTGAACGGAAAAGAATAAAAAAAAAAAAAGATAGAAAGGATGGTAAATAACACACTTGGTTGCTCGGTAAAGACTGACTTTATTGCCTCAGTAATGCCATATATATAGTATTACAGTTTGTTTACACATTACAGATAGGATTAAGTATTATATTGTCTTACTTCTAACTATAACTTATATATATATATTTCTTAGTTCTGCTTCTATAAATTCAAGGTGATCGGGATCAAGGATATCAGGATGTAGATTAAAGGTTTCGAAGAGGTGGTGAGCAAATATTTGGAACTTTCTATGGTCAGATTGGGACCATGTTTAAAGTTCAGTAATTAGTAGATGATTGTGATCTCTAAATTTTAGGAGCTTCTTAGTGGTAGTCCATGGTGATTTGTAGCTAGTTGTTAGTTTTTCAATAAAAGTTAATAAATTTTTAATTTCTGATTTTACTTCGTTAGTCAATTGGGTGTAGTGTGTTTTTTCTATTGGATTTCTAATTCTATGCACCGATCTTGCTCTGCGTTTTCCTTTAATATGATACGCATATGCTGTGGCAAGTTAGTCTGTAGTGGATAATTTACTTTACTATTAACTTTACTGTTGCAGGTGTTTTTATTAATACGGCTTGATGTTATATGTTTGTGTATGGCACCGTTGATATCTTGTTTTGCCAATAGCGGAATTTTCAAGTATAATCTATTTTCTAAACCATCACGAAATCAGTCCCATTTAACTCCTCCTGCAATCAATGTAGGATGTGAGGGTTTAGGAGCATTGTTTGAATGTAGTAAAAGCAGAATTGGACTATGGTCTGAAGATAGGTCATCTACGGATTTGATTATGACTTGTGAAGAAAAAAATCTGGGAGGTGATAAATATATCCAGGATATCGTGACGTTTTTTGAGCGATGTCGACCAATAAGTAGGATTCTTGGCCGAAAGGATAGAATAGTTGTTAGAAGTTGGAACACGTGAAAGCATGTTACAACGGGAGGTCGATGTTCGACAACCGCATCGTTGGTGTTTAGCATTGCAGTCTCCTCCAGCAATGAGCGCGATTCTTTTGGAGCGTTTAATAAAGCGTTTGGAATAAGGAATCAAGAAGTTTATAAGATGGGGAATTGCCTGGAGGACAGTATACAGCTGGGAAAGTTAAATTGAAAGAAAGAGTTGAAAGTATTATAGAAGTTGATTTGAATGGCATCAGTTGGACTGGAAGGGATAAGTCAATGGGATAATGATTTATGGATAAGGACGCAAGAACCAGCATGGGAAATGCTGACGGGATGGTGAGATCTATATGTGATGTAGTCGCGTATGTAGAATTTTGACGGTTGAGTGAAGTGAATTTCAGTCAGTAGAGCTATATCAATATGATTGTCATGAAGAAATATGTCACACACAAACACACACATATATATATATATATATATATATATATATATATATGTGTATATATTATAAATAATAATGATGGAAGTGATTCACATTTGAAACAAAGATCAATAAAAAAAAAACAATGTAACAATGTTTTATTACGTAAAACTCACACCAAGCTTTGGAAATAAAAAGTCATTAATCAAGTTTACATGGGAACGCTTTACTTATCTGCCTGAAAAAAAAAAATATGTTTGTGTTAAATATAATATTGTTTACGTATTAATATACGTATTAACTTACCTTCTACCCTTGCAGCAACCCATATTTTGCATACAACAGCGGGTGTTGACATAGCAGCAGCTCATTGTGCCTCCACAACGGACCTTGGTAAAATCAGAACCTTTAAAAATAAAACATATCTCACTAACTATTTTGAATGAAAAAATGGTTACAGGAAGTAGCCCATGTAGCTGTAATGTTTAACGATTTCAACGAAACAACAATTTACAATAATTTGAGTATTCTTGAATCGGTTTCTTATTTTATTTTTTTTAACCATATTTAAGAAAGTTAATAAACACATCTGCAACACAGCTATTAAATTTAGTGATTTAGATTACACCCTGAAGAAATCATTTCCAGGAACTAATGCTCTTGTTAGCTCTTTAATAAATTATATATGATTCCGAAAATAGAACCTTATATAATCTTATTTTTATTTTTCTCCAAATGGTTTTAATCATACATGTGACGGAGGCTTGGTGCGTCTCTGCTGCATATAGTAACTTACTAGATGATTGTTGAAAGTAATATAGTGAGGAGACTTTAACAAGGGGAGGTAACAGATGTGGAGACACCGATTTAATTTTTTTTTTTTTTTGGTAATATTAATTCAAAAAATATTACACTCGCGTTCAAGGGATCTCGTCAATGCTTCCGAGAAGCCAAGAAAAAAATATTTTTTTGTCACACACACATTTTTTTTTGTGCGTCCTGATATACAGGAATTATATATATATATATATATATATATATATATATATATATATAATATATATATATATATATATATATATATATATATATATATATATATATATATATATATATAAACTTACATAATTAAAGATCCTCAATGCTCTTTACTTTTCCACAAATGTAATCATCGATAACGACTATAATGTACCACATGTTTCCAATTTGGTCCAATCCATATACCTATCCTTCCATCACAAATTTTCGAATCATCTCGTGTCTAATCTTACTTTCTGTTCAATCCCTTATAACACTCTGAGTCGTCTGAAAAGAAGATAGTCTCATGATCTTCTAAAGTAGGTATATTATAAGAGTGCTACCAGTGGATTATTTCTCAACAAGCGTTTTCATTTCATTATATTCCTTTGCACACATTTACTGGATGTAAATATTATGAATAATAAAATCTGATCAGCGTATCACACGACTTTCTCTTACCACCCTCTTCTTAGCAGAAATAAGTATTTTCAGACAAAGGGGAAGTGAAAGTATAAATTATAGACGCTGCGTTTATTTACATTTCATTATGGGTATTTTTATTTGTTTGTTTAGTTAGTTATTTTAGTTATTTGATTAATTATCCCTATGTATACAAATTTTAATTTTTACATACCTGTAATCAACAATTTTTTTTTTATTTTAATGAAATTTACAACTGTATTTGCATTAAAAATACAACAAGTAAATGTGACATTGGTAACATGCCATGTAAAACATGATGAGAAACTACCCATTGGTAGAACTCAAATTAAAGTTCTATATTAGAAGATCCCGAGGCCATCTTCTTTTCAGACGCCTCGGAGGGTTATCAGGGATCGAGGAGGAAGCAAGGTTTGAAACGAGAGGATTCGGATGATTCTGCAGTTTGTTATGGAAGGAAAGGTATCTGGATTGGGCCAGATCGGAAACATATGGAACATTAAGGTCTTTATGGATGATTTTGTTTGTGGCAAAGTAAGGAGCGTTGAGGATTTTACGAAGGAGTTTGGATTGTAAGGATTGGATACGCGAGGAATTCGATGGTTTAGTGGAGCCCCAGAGCTCAATTCCGTAAGTTCAAATAGGTCTTATTATTGTCATATATATGAGTCGTTTGCAATTGAATGAAAACTTAGAGCGTTGGTCCAGTAAGTGTTGGAGTAGTAACGGATTTGTTCAACTGGGATAAGTGGGGAATTGTTAAAGAATACTGTAGGGCAGGAGGTCATAGGTTTGCGACGCAGGGTAAAGGTAATTATTGGAGTTTATTTTAATCCTCCAGTTTTGACACAATCCTTCAAGACTTGTCATGTGTTATTGGAGAGTTTGGGATGCAATGGATGGATCGTTGTTAACTGATAGGATACACGTGTAATCGGCATAAGTGGTGATAACAGTGTTGGGATGGGTTGGAATGTCAGCTGTATAAACTGTGTAAAGGATAGGAACTAGGATACTACCTTGAGGAACACTAGCAAACTGAGATAAAAGAGATGAACAGACATTTTTGTGATTTACTTTGAAGAATCTATCACTAAGGTAGGAACGGATAATGAGGAAGCATGTAGGTTGTAGGAATTTACGGAGTTTGTACATCTGTACCAGACTCTACCAAACGCCTGTTCAACGTCGAGAAAGACTCCCGTGCAGTACATTCCACGCTCCAATGCAGAGGAAACCACGTCTACCACACGATGACATTGCTGAATAGTGTAGTGAGATGTACGGAATCCAAATTGGTGATCTGGGATTATGTTATTAGAATCTAGGATGGGATACAGGCGTTTTAAGATGAGTTTTTCTAGGATTTTGCTCATAATGGGTAAAAGAGAGGTAGGACGGTAAGAGGATAGGTATTCTGGCGGATTTGTGGATTTGGGTATCATTTTGACAATGGATAGTTTCCAAGAGTCAGGAAAATATGTAATCTACAGTTAAATATTAAATAATACAAACGATGGCATTTATGAAAATCGCATATGTATGTATACATAATATTGTCGCAGTCCGTATTAAGTATGGAAGCCTAGTCTAATTTGGACAAGCTCGTATTCTTTGGTTCCTCCATTACAACCGTTATGATCTCTTATTTCTCCTTTAGTTAATTATCAAATCCATTCATATTGTTATTTAACTATATTTTATATCCAAAACTAATATGAAATGGTTAATTATTTCAAATGAAAGAAATTAAAGGTACTTCACACTAAGCTAATATTGAAAATGAGCTATTAAAGCCCTGCTAGAGAACATCAATGAGAATAAAAAAGCATGCATTGTTTAAAAAACTTCTTAATAATGCACTGATATACTGAGTTCAATCAAAATCGCTAGGATTCTTTTTGAGAAGTAGTAAAAATGTGTTAAATCGATAATTTAAAGTACCACTTCCGGTTTTCTAATTTTGACAAAAATATTGCTCTAAAATCACAGGCTTATAAAAACCTCCAATACGCAATTTAAGTTTCGCACAACTTTTCATTTTCTAGCTATGCTTTTCACATACATGCACATAGTCCATCTTGGAGACTTGGTTATAGGGGGAAACCTCAGATTTGAAAACTCAGATTCGAAAATTTTTACGATCGCAATACTTTCCCTTACTATATATTAAATATATAGTGAAGCATAATAAAAAAAACAGACGTTGGTGTATGTCTGATGCCATATCATTTGGGATGTAAGTTGGGTTCAAGCGGTGCAGAGTTAAGCTATATACTGAAGTTCTACTGAGCAAATCCTTCTAAAGCTTAAAAATATTCTACAAAAATTTATAAGAAAATGTTCCCTTTAAGTATACTGAATTTAGATACTCACTATATGAATAATATTGTCCTACATTGCTGTCATCCTCATCCTGTTCTGTATTACTAGCCACAATAACAATGAAGAAAACTGAGATCACAATAATGGAAATGAATTTCATGGTTTGGAGGAATAGGACTATTTGCATTAACTGAAAGAAGATTCGTCTTTATAAAAAAGAGATTACAGTAATGCGCATTAATAGGATTCAGGTCGATATTACAACAGTGTGAATATGCATATTATTCGTTATCAAATCTAAGGTATTTTTGTAAAATCTGTTCATCTCCTTCTAGTACGATACCTGTTTATGATTAAATTTTAGCGGATTCGCAACACGTTTCACAACTGAAATTATTTCTAATTTTTAGTTTAGTCCAAAAGGAATTGCAAATTATGTATTATTTTAACTAAACCCTTAGTTAAAACCCTTAGTTAGTTAAAACCCTATTTAATTGAGTTTAAAAAAATTCAAATCTATACTTTGTTTAAACAAAATTTTCAAAAGGACGGTAGATTCCCAGGACCCTGTACTATTTACTACTAGTCTATCCAGAAACTGTTAGTTTTACACAGTTTATCTTATTAATCCTCAAGAAGTGGTTAGAATCCCAAGGAGAGAAGATAATCTCTTCATCTCTTAATCAGATCACATGGTTTTACTTTTCTGTAAGCTGGTTTATCTAATCCAGTCGAAATATCGATAGTGAAGAATATTTTTGAAGAAAATATAAACGTCTGTTTACACATGGGTTCAGTTAAAAAAAGGAAAATTAGTCGAAATAAAAACAAACAAAAATATGAGTAAACGTGTTTAGAATTATTGAATGTAATTTATTGAGAGTAATCTATTCAGTCGTAGATAGCGCAAGAAACGCTCATCTTCTGTTTGTCAATGATGTGATTATTCTCTTACCTCATTTAATTTTTCCAAATATGAATATTATTTCTAAAGTATGTACGGTATAATATTATCATCGATGAAATGGAAATTTCGCTTTTTTTCAAATAGTAAAATCAAATAGTAGTTTCTCAGCGATGCTTCTCAGTATGAAGACGTGGTCTTGAGTCTGCCTCCCTGGACGAAAACAGGCTTTTTCTTCTTCTATTTGGTTCTCGACTGCTGCCTTTGTCTCCTGTCTATGATTGAAGTGTATAGTTTGTAAGCGGCAGAAAGTAAAGTAAGCTTATTGGCCTGTAATTTCCACAGTCACTGGAGTTACCTTTCTTGCTTATAGGAACGATGGTACTGAACTCCCGATCTCTTGGAACGATGTTCGTGTCCCATATATATTGGAGGAGTTGCTGGAGAAATTTAATAAGCTCTTGACCTCATAATTTCAATAATTCTGGAGCTATACCCTTCCTGCTGCTTTACCTATCTTAATTTGTTTGATGGCATACCCTATCTCATCTTCCTCAACAGCATCGAAATTCTCCAGACTATAATTTTCTGCAACATGCTCTCCTAGGTCATTAGGCCCTTTTGAGAAGTGTCCTCGATAAAACTCCTTCCACGACTCAAGAATTTTTATCACTTCTGTTATCATCTTGCCGTTTGAGTCTTTAAGATTTCTAACTTGCTTACTTCTTTTCCCTCTCAATGTCTTTACTTTGCGCCAGAATTTTTAATACTCTGTGGGTGGTCTTCATCGAGGCTTTTTCCAAACTTCTCCAATGCAACTCTTTTTGCTTGATGGATCACTCATTTGCATCGATTTCTGGTCAAATGGCATTGCTTCCGTTTTTCTTCTGTTCTGTCTTGAAGGTTGTTTTTCCATGATTTCTTCTATAATTGGATGACGTGCCGCACTTCTTCATTCCACCATTCGGTGCGCTTCGAGTTGCCCAGATGCATGTCATTATAAACACAGAAATCAATAAGGCGTTGTCCATTTCCATTCCTTAGCCTTTCTTCTAAATGGATTCCGAGGGTACCGTTAGCAACAGTTGGATCACATCCAGTTCTTGCATTAAAAAGTCTCTAGTCAGTATTGCGAATCGTCCGTTATCCATTATTTTATTCAGTACTCCTTGCAAGTCCGAGTAGAAGGCTTCTTTGTCAATGATTCCTGCATCCTCACATTTTGGGATTCATGGCTATACCTCCTCTTTTATTCGTGAAAGTTTCTGGTATTCCAGCATATAAAAGGGCATATTCAGTTCAGCACTTCCTTTCTTCCTTACCTCACCAATACTGAGTAAATCCACCTTATAACTCGTCATTTCCTCAACAAGTTCAACCTCTTTTCCGGTTAAAGTCTTTATGTTCCAGGTACCAAATAGTAAGTCTTCATGAGCACCAGGTCGTTTCCGTGAGATCAATCCACATCCGAGGCTAGTATTTTTAATTTCAATAAGATTTATTACCATGTGGGTTATTACCCCAGTGCTGGAGACCCCATATCCTGGGAACAACTGGTCTTCCGAATATTTGTATCTTCTCGGAGGAAAGGATGACCAGGCTGTACCCCCTAACACTGGGTCCTCAGCAGAACTTATCCATTACAGAACATGTAATCTTATCACCCCCCGACTTGGACCCGCCTGCTGATAGTCATCTAGGTGAGATTAGATAAGGTGGCTCTGGTGTCCTCTGGACGGAGTCAATAGCCTCAGAAAAATCTGAGACCAATTAGCGAGTCTGCTGTAGGTAAAACACTAATAATGGCTTGATCGAAGTGAGGTAAAGGAGTACCCAGCGGCATCCCTTCTTGGCTTGAATTCTATATATTTTTAGGTAAGGAAATTCCTCACCCAGCTTCGTTTTAACCTCCAAATCAATGAGTTAGTCTGTCCATAAGTTATTGTGAATTTTTTCGTAATGTGTCCGTATATGGTCGTTAAATTTTGGCATGTTTGGATTTTTATGTGAAGTAATGTTTGTGACGTACCATGGAGCTTTAGTTATAGTCCTTGAAGTTTTTGAATGAGAAGTTTGTAGTTTTCGAAAGGTCGATAAAAAACATAGGTAGAGGCTTCTTGATACGTGATATGATGTTTACAACATTTGTGGCATCATAGCCAAGACATCTTAGTTCATATTTAATGGTCTTGAATGGTGTTGCATGATGGAGATTTTTAAATAATATTCTGTGGCTTCGGTCTTCTGGTAATAGGCACGTGTGGAAATCAGCACTAATCTGTCTTAAACTTGCCACCAGTAGCCGGTATATATCCGAGTTTTTGGGATACACACAGACACCCTTTATCTTTGGTTTTTGCTTAAACCTATTAGGACCGCCTACATTTTGAAGACATGATACAAATTCTGTGTAGTTCTGTATACCGTTTAGATGTATTGGTCAAGAACCTATACGAGAAGGTTGTGTTTTTGTAGATTCTGGTTTATCTCTAACGTTATTTAAGACTTCGTATCTATTTCGAGTGAAAGTAACTTCAATCACCTTGTAAGTATTCTCGGGTCCCTTTCGTTAGCACTTATAGACATTTTTCTTCAGGTGACTAGTTCCCATGCGGTGCCACTCGCTTCGTTTAGTCTTAAAGTGCTTATTAAACTTGGTAGACTGTCAGAAAACGACGGTGTAGTCATTGTTGGTGGCGAAAACGCTTCACCCAATCCCGATGTTCCTATCTCTTTGAACTACTGTTAAAACTAAAATCAAAACAAGTTTTAAGACGTGCTTAAACTTGTTAAACTTGCTTAAGACTTGATTTATAAAATGGTTTTACAGAGAAAAAATATTTTGAAATCTTATTTTCACTGGTTACCATATGTATATTAATTGAATAATACAAATATCTGTCACATAGACATTTATTTAAAATTAAATAACTTGATAATCGTCACTTCAATCATAAACATTAAAACATTAATGGATTAAAATGGTTTATTGCCAATTAATTATTGTAATATTATATCAACTCTCCTCTAATCTTATAACTCCTTTCCACCAGAATAAACCTATTTTTCAAGATATCAGTTGTAAAGCATTATTTCATTAGCGTACGTATTTTGGTTTTGTATTTTATTCTTTTTTAATTAAAATACTTTTAGTATTTTATACTTAAAATATTATTCATTTATTAAACAATGTTATTTTTTTAAATTAAAATATTTTATATTTTAAAAACATAAAATAATTGATATTTTAAGTGCTATATTTTCAAAGAATAATTAAAATACCGTTTCCCTTGATCTGTATTGGATCCACTATTTTCAAATATATATCACATATCTATGATATAACTATATCGTACTCATTTTATTATGTCCGTTTTATATATAAAAGTAAAGGACCAAAGTGAGATAGATTAAGGCTTTATGCTACCTTTCAGTTGGAAACATGGAGACGGAGTGGTGTCTTGGTCTTGCAAACTCAGTCTTCGTCATGGTCTTTGTCTTGCACAAGAGTCTTTCAGTTACTTATTACCTTATTAATACAGAGATATTACTGTAAGTTTTTACATAGGAGAAACATAACTATGCCCGAAGGAAGGAAAAATTAGATTATATATATATATATATATATATATATATATATATATATATATATATATATATATATATATATATATATATATATATACAATAATCAAAAAAGTTAAAGATAAGGGAATAAAAAAAATATATTAAGGTATGTATATAGATACATATATAAATAAAAATAATATCATATATGGATATACTTAAGATATGGATATGGATATATCATGAGAGAGAACTTTGAGCAGGCTTGCCCCACCAACTATAGTTGAAAAAGCATGGCTCTAGGAGATCCCTGAGCTACTCTCTCAACAGCGTCACTAGTAGTACAGTAAGTGGAGATTGATCGAGAGCGGTTTAGCCACATAAATTAATGTCTTGAGTGAATAATCTGGCCATTGCCAGAATTCTAATATATTCTTGCAAAAGGTCGCATGGCCACTGCCGATTCAACCTTCTTGGAGGATTAAAGAATTCTGGAACGTGTGGTTCTAAATTGTGGAAGAGGATTTGGTGAAATTTGGATAATTTTTCAGAGATAAGGTCTTGGTCAAATGGATTGCTTTTTTTTTTTTTTTTTTTTTTTGGTTACATAGAACTGCGCATCGACTGTTTGACTTTGGACTGAAAGGATTGGTTGTGTTTGATGTCCTGTATAATTCTAGCCAGTAGGTTCAAACAAATTTCAGGATTTTCTTGTAGGTCAGTAATTTGTAGTCAATTGAAAGTTGAGATTTTCCAGTAAATAATTTGTATCGTTGGCCATATTGTCAGTTAAATTGTTCTTTTTAAGTATAGTTAGTGGGTTCCATCTTAGTGTTCGGTCTAATGCCGGAATGTGGCTAAGAAAGGAAACTTGATGGAGCTAAAATAAAATGGTGAAAAGGATTTAAAACAAAGGTTAAATCTAATATGATAACATTTGAATTCGTTTTCTTTAATGCTCCATTGATTACTCTAGGATTCAACCAGAGAGAGGTGCCTATTTCAGGATTTGAGTTGGATGGCGGAATCAACAAATGTTACCAAATATATGGTATCCTGATGGGCAGGGATATCAG